TGGTCTGGCGCCTGATTTCCCCAAATGGTCTTCTCAGTGTATGTCCAAACCAATCCGTCTCCACTAACTTCCACTGCATATTTGTTGCGTGGTAGGTTCTTGCTTCGTTGCTTCCTTTTCAGGGTTCATTGTTGCTTATTCTTTCTGGCAAACCATCTGATCTTCAGTATGAAGCCAGCGTAGGCAGCTGTTGACGAATGTCTGTATTTTGCTGGGAGTGCTTTTCATGACACGCCAAGTGTCTAAACTATCACATAGAATCACTGACTTGACTGACATTAGTGTTCAAAATCCGCATCTTGTTCACGCTTTATGCTGAGTGCAGAAGATCTGCACACTGGTTTCAGATTACTGAAGGCCTGTCTTACTATCCTCATCCTGACTTTGACATTCTCGTCTATCCCGCCGCATGTAGTTGAAACGGTTCTGCCTTGCCTAGGTAGGTGAAAGAGACTACTTCGTTTAGGTTTCTCTTCTTCATGGTGAATGGTGCTTGTTGTTCAGGCTTTTGTTCGTTGGGCATCTTCATCACCTCCGCCTTCTTTACGTTAACTTGAAGTCCGGTTTTCGCTGCCTCACCTCTTCTGTCAACTTGTTAGTTTCCGCCTGTAGATCTTTGAGTTTGTGAGACATTAGACATAAATCAACATCGGCCGAATCCTAATCTTCTTCTGAGGTCTTCTCATCGGTCCAGCCAGCCAGCCAGCCAGCCAGCCAGCCAGCCAGCCAGCCAGCCAGCCAGCCAGCCAGCCAGCCAGCCAGCCAGCCAGCCAGCCAGCCAGCCAGCCAGCCAGCCAGCCAGCCAGCCAGCCAGCCAGCCAGCCAGCCAGCCAGCCAGCCAGCCAGCCAGCCAGCCAGCCAGCCAGCCAGCCAGCCAGCCAGCCAGCCAGCCAGCCAGCCAGCCAGCCAGCCAGCCAGCCAGCCAGCCAGCCAGCCAGTCAGCCAGCCAGCCAGCCAGCCAGCCAGTCAGTCAGCCAGCCAGCCAGCGTATACCCATCTTCTCTCTCCCCACGATTTGCTGCATGATCCAGTTGAGTTGACCACAATCAGGAAGATCATGTGTGATAGTAGGTGGCAACCTTGTCTTGTCTTGCTCCTGTCTTCACTTCAAATGTGTTACTGAGGTTCCCATTGTGGATCACTTGACATGTGTCGTCATCATATATCTGTTGAATTAGGTTGATAAAGACTAGTGGCACTGTGTAGTGTTGAAGCAGATGCCAGATTACTTCTTGATCGACATTGTTGAAGGCGTTTTCAAAGTCGATGAAGTTGAGGAAGACTTGAGTTGACTGGCATACTATGATCTGTTCTATGATAATGCGTAGCGTTGCAATTCGATCCCCCTACCTGTGAGCGATGTCGTCCCCACTAGGTCTCGAAACTTAAAACGGTAACCGTCGCACAAGAAGTAGCTGTTTTGACTCAGAGGTGTAGTAAATAATGCTCTGCCGTCTCTAGCTATCTTTCCTGAGTTCTAGTCTCGATGGGAACAATATCACTCACTTGAGGGAAGGTACATCCAACTAACGAGTCCCAAACAGGACGAAACATGCGTCCTGAATTCCACCGCCAGCCACTATCCGTCATTAATATAGCAGATAGTTCTTACTATCATCTTTCTAGAATTCGATAGCCTTGGGTACTATGTATGATGCATTCACTGAAGTTGTAATCTAATTATATACATCTTGTGCTACATTCTCCAGAGAGGTGGCAAGAGTTGACAGTCAACCAGTCAGCGTTCTAGAAACAGAAACGAGTGATATTTTTAAGTAATATAGAAGAGTAAAGGGAAAGCAATAGAAAGTGAAGCAGTAGCCACCTGGAAGAAGAGATCGCCTTTCATATGAATAAATGGGATACATCACAAGCTTTCAAAATTGCGTTAGTGCTGATTATGGTTAGCTGAATAAGAGATCTCATCAGTTCCAAGTATAACCGCCTCTGTACTTTTACTTCCTTCGTTTTAGAAGGAAAAGATTTGACTAAAAAGTAAGTGCAATCGAATTCTCATTCATCTTTGTTTCCCAACCAACTGCCTTAACTCTTTGTCACTGGACTGAAACTGAGATTTTGTTAGCGCAGTGTGTAGATAACTAAGCTGATAACTCGAATGTCAATATTCCATCCTAACTGAAGCCAAATTTTCTTGGTAATCTCATTCTTTGTCCTGTTGCTAAGACTGATGTCATGTTAGTCACCTCCAGGCTCCACAGAAAGTTTCTAGTTAGTATGAGTTCCAGATAAATATACATCAGCAGAGTCCCTGAAGATTTGAATCAATAATAAGTTTTTCAAACCCATTAAATATTAGTTTTTATGTTGTGGCCAGTCAGTATCTGTCATTGATTGAACTGAAGTAATCGACCACTATTAGTACATGAGCTTCTGTGAGAATGCCTCGATCTTGCCTGTTTTAAGTTTGATAGTAATAATGAATAGTAGCTGAGAGTGGGATACGACACCTACCTTCTTGATTAAGAACTGTCAACTACCTCTCAGTAAGTGATGTTCCCACCAGGACTTGGACTATAGACCAATCTCCTCGAACATCTAAGCACTATTCACCAGGTTACTGTGTCACAATATCCCGCAGCCTATATGCCAATAATGACCGGTAAATTCGGTCAAGTCAGTGAAGGAGATTTACAAGCTATCACATCAAATCTATACTATGCCAGTTTTACCACAGAGTAGGTCTTGTGGCTCAGTGACCAAGTGGATAACATTCTTGTGTTTGAAGCAATCGGTTGTGAGTTGGAGTCCTAGAGGGAACAGCATTACTCAGTGGTGGTTGGCTACATACCAGCTGATGAGTCTCAAACAGGATGGAGGCCAAGTCCTAGATGCACACTGTTAGCCACTATTCATCATTACTACCCTCGAATGTTCCTCCACTTTTGCTACTACTCTTTCCTCTGCGCCATCTAATCAGTTCGTTGTTAACTGTGTCTTATTTTTTATCAAAGGGTGTAGGTAATAGGCAGAAAAATTATTTTTCTTCACTCAACTGTTTGTTAAATTTCGTCAAAAGAAAAAGAAAACGTAAATTGTTTTTGTTTCAGTTTTATTAGTTTATCAAATCGCCTTGTTTCATGATTAGAAGATCATTATATTCTCTAGAGCATCTCGCAAAACTAAGATTTCATGTAGTGGGGTAGAATTGATGCATATCAATGTGATTAGAGCTTTCATATTATATTATATCTATAAGAGTGTAAACTGTCAAAATAAAATGTTACTAAAAAGACAGAACTTGAACAAATTACAATCTTAATCTTCAATATATGATTCTAAAACTGTACTGTAAGTTCCTTAGTTAACTTTAAGTTATAATATGCAACGTTTTAATACTAAGGATGGTTAGTGACAAGCAGTGGAACCTAGGATGCACGTTTCTTCCTACTTTGAACTCATCAATCGATCGTACCAGTATCCAAGTTGTTCTCATTGAGACAAGAATCCAGCACTCATAGCTTCCAAAGTCAGAGTGTTATCCATTAGGCTACTTAGTTACGAAAGCCCCTCCTTTGCAACAGCTAGATTTTTGACTTTGGAACCAGTTATTTCCAGTTGTTGATCGGTTTGGACGAAACAGATGGACCTATATTGGCATAAAGGATCCTGTGTGGGTCCGGGTCTCAGTAGGAACACCATCACTGGAGTGCATAAGTATCCAACTGACTACTTCCAAATAGGACAAAACAAGCATCCTGGATCCCAAAGCTGTTCGACATAACAACAGCAAGCATAAAATCAACAAGTCAACCAATTGTAAGTGAGCTTGAGATCGAGTTACTTGACACCCAAGTTCTTGGAGGGCAACAAGAGAATAATAGGATGTGTGAATGCACAATTTCGATAATCAGCGATTCTGCAGTTTGCAAAAGACGAACTCTTACCACCTATGATAGATGTCTAAGTATCCTGTTTGACATCACTTCATTCATATAATTGATTTACTCGTTAAGATTACATTTGAGGGTTTCTAGGCACATAGGAATTGCTAATACCAGAAGAACATGAAACAACAATAGTTTCCACTGATTATGATGACGATGCTCGCTTCACTGAAATTCTATAGGAATAAGTAATGGACCATTGTAGTTGCCATGAGATTAATTAGACCAGTGTGACGGGAGATGTAACACTTAACCATCCTATAAATTTGTCTTGTGAAGAAACTGCTTTCAGCAGTGCTCTTAACTAACCTTATCGCGTTACACAGCGGCATCATAAACAGTAAAATAAAAGTTTTGATCAATGAAAATACTGACATGGTTTTAGTTTGTCAAGTAAATGTCGCTTGCATGGAAATTTAGTTAGCTACCGCTGGTTGTGTCTATTTAGAGCTTTTCAATGAAAGTTCATCCCTACAACTTAACAAACGGCTCACTGAAAGTTAATCAGCAAACGGTTGTACAAAACTTTAGTCAAACAAATGACACCTTGAACAGTAGTAAGTTTAGATATGTTTTCAAGTATTTACTCAGTTTAATAGGAAGTCAGTTACTACATGCTGTGAGCAATCAAACATAGGTTCGAACAACTCTTCACCTACTAACTTTTCAACAGCCAGGTAGCATCATTAGTCCTCAAACACAATAAGTGATTCGTTCTTTCGTTAGTAAAATATTGGACAGCTGGCTATTGGTGGAATCTGTGAAAAGTAGGATTTGCTATAGTTTTTTGCGGAATGATAAGATAATTATCTGGACAACAGTCATACACTCTGAAATCTCCATACCAGTATGCAACGTAGAACCACCATCAAACTTTGACTTTCCATGTTGTTGGAAAATACACAATTAAACATGTCATTTCATTACTTCGGCTTCTAAGAAATGTTTTTCATCCATCAGCTGAAGTGGTGAGTAGTAAATTCTAAATTTTTTTACAATAAGAAACAGGATCTATACATATTTCATAAATTAAAATTGGTTATTTTGCTACTGAGCATTTTTTTCTTTTGTTTTTTTCTGTTATTCTTCCTGAAGGAGTTCATTTGTATAATTGTCTGCTTTATCCTTGATTTGGTTGCAATGATTGTAGCAGCAGCAACTACCCGAGATTCTGGTGCTGCAATAGCTTCTGCAGTAAGTTTGTTTTTTAAAACAATACTTGTTCATTAATTCATATCGAAAAGATTATTATTAGCTTTGATTATCAACTCGAATATCTGAGATGGCCGTAGTAGTAATGATACTTAATGATGATTGGAGGTGAAATGGAAATCTGGGTCGAACTAGAGGCCTCCAGAATATCCGCCCGGTGCCTTATCAAGTGAGCTACGAGATGCAACTACTGGCATTTTTCTTGATTATTTTTGTTCAGGCTGATAAGTTTGAAAATAGTTCTCAACACTGACTGGAACTGTCATGACGAAAAGAGTTAGTGAAATAAGAGAAGTGCAAGATAACTGTATTGCCTTAGTTCTAGTTTTGCTAGAAAATATACACTAGTAAAAACACTTTATTCGGTCAAGACTTTTACTGACCCAGTAATCTACCTGTTATTGCTCTGTGTAAATTCCAGTTATGATCAAGTATAGTTGAAGCATCCCATCCATCCAAACAATAGACTTGAGTAGTTCTTTACTTTATATCAGTAAAGACATGAAATTATCAACCTGTTTATGCCAAAAAACTGTGATCATCATGTTGGAAATATAAATGACTCATTAACACTGAACTGATCAATTCGCAGTATAACAAGATTCCTTGTAAGTAATGCTGTTTAAGCAGGCCCTCTCTCTCTCTCTCCCCTAGTCCGTAACAACCCCAACTTTTTCGTACAACCATCAGCTCATCTAAATTGAATGGTCTGTCTGCATTGAATTGTGCTTCTTATTAATTTAGAATCATAAATTACCTACTCATTCAGAAACTAATTTTATCAGGTGATATGCCTCCCAAACCTTCTTATTAAAGATAAACTTAATACACATCTTATGTGGGAAGTTAACTCTCCCGCCAGTTGTTGACGTGAGAATATAAAAACCCATGTAAACTAAGATTATTTTAGGTAAATTTTATTCTCAATTCAACGACTGTATAAGTGACTTGATCATTGATGACTTCATACATTTTGTTTACTTCTCTGAACTTATTTCATTAAATATCCAATTCATAGTTGTTGTAAATTTCCTGGAGGAATTTGAGCAACAATTCTGATTTAATTACTTTATAAGTACGTTTTGATGTAATTCCAGAGTATTTCAAAAGTTAACATTTTTCTGGACATTTCACTGTGTAATTCATAGCTTCTTCAGGAAATACTAAGATCTTTTAATGAGGTACAAAAAATTTGAATATTCTGATGAAGAAACTATACTTTTCATAGAGAAATAACCAGGAAAAAATTTTGTTTTTATCTTCTCAGCATTAGAGTTATATTGAAACTTACTTGTATAATTGTTTCCCTAAAGTTTTACGGATGCATAGATCCATGAATTTTAAATTATATGCAGTTTTCCGGAAATAAATTGATTTTTGTGTGTCATAAGTTCATACTCCATCCATGAGTTTAATCCCACGTTCAATAATATATGCATGTCTTACATATTTTATTACAATTAGCAAACTCCTTACAGTCAAACTATATTTGTTTACTACGTTATATAAAAGGGGTTGTAGGTGTAACAACCCAAGTTGCTACCTACCTGCTGACTGATTCCTTATAAGAACAATTTATCATCACCTTTGGAAGTGAAATTACACCACGGAAAGAGTTCTTCAAAACAATCTTTCACCACGTTAATACTAAAATAATTTGAGTGTGCTATTCATCATGAACTGATATCGTCTGGAAAACCGATGAAAATATAGGAGAACTGGAGAGCCGTTTTGTCCTAGTATGCCATCCCTTAACATTGCGTGTCCACGAACCCAGGGCTTTTAGGTCTCGTGGTGAGGACAGTAACATTGTCTCACATTTTCTTAGTTCTATCAATTCGCTATATAGTGCGGCCATCGTCCAATGTTATTGTTGAGTATTCGTTCTCCCAGTGACGTTATTTGCCAAACAGGTCATGACTTTACATTAGGACTTTCGGAAATTTCATCCTGAGACATTTTACTAAAGAAAACAGGACACATGTTTGTAGAGATTTGACTTATTTGGGGGCCATATTCACCATAGACTGACATCTGTTGGAGAACCATTGGAAACCTTGGAGCACCCAGTAACTGAATGGCAACATGTTTACTGCCAGATCTGAAGGCTGTCACTTCAATCACTAACCGGGTCGTGATCATTTACTGCTGAGGGACTACATATCAGAAAAAAAACAGGTGTTTAGTGCTCCTAAGTTTTCACTTGTCTTTCAAAAGACATCAGTTTGTGAAGAATACCTCACTAAAATCAGTTGAATCCCCAGAAATATCCGAACTGAAACAAAATAACTATGTTCGATGACGTCACATAAAAAAACACTTAATTTAGGGTTAACACGTTATCAGTAAAGAGTAACATCATATTGGAGTAAATCATTCGCTTATTGGATACCCTAACACAATATATTGTGGGACAACAAAAATAATCTTATGCCTTTTGAGTTTCATCGGTTCCCTAGCATCGATTCCATCAACACTTCTCTTCTATTCTTTACCTTCTTAACATATATCCAGTAGGTATCCATTGATTTCATTCTAAATATCTTGTGGGTTATTATCGAATTTCGATTCATTTCTATGAAGTAGATTTAACACTGTACTAATGATATATTTCTAGTTTCTTAAAAATAGACCGTTTAATGTTGGTAATAAAAATCCATACGGCTGTACAGCTTCAGTAAATAATATCAGCTTAACAGAACATTTCCGTTAATAATCTACCTGTTCTTTATTGAATGACATAATTAGCAGATTTCTTTGAGACCATCAATTTTTCATATGGTTGTAAACTGTTTGTTTTTTTTTACTGAAATACATCGTAGCAAGACCAGTAAAGGGTTGTGTGATGGGGAAAAAATTCATTAGAAACTTTATACATTCTAGTTTCTCTGATAATTGTAAACACCATAATAAAAACATTATTAAAAGTGATGTTTCTGTTGTATTGTTAAAAGAATTCAAAAAGAAAGAGTAACTACATGCCAGAAAGGCCGTCCATTGCATATCAGTGGCTTTTAGTTCCTTATAAAATATTCTTAGTAAGTCTTTTAACAACTTGTCTAGGTGTTTTATGCAGTCTAATAGTTGAGTAATACAACTGACTGAAGTCTTGATAAATAACTTATCGAACAACATGATTAATTTAATATTCTCAACTTATTGAACAGGAAGTAAAAGAAATGAACCATTTTTCTTTGCCTGGGGGGGGATGTGGATGGGAATAATTAACAACAAGTCACTTTTATTACCTACTCAGATCTTTTGGAAATTTGTTAAACAAATCTACAAAATTTGAACATTACAAACACTTCATTTTAAACTAAATAAACAAGTTTCCTGTTTACGGATTACTTTTTATTTTTTCTGGAGAAAACTTTTCGAACTGAAAGATTTCTGAAGAACCTAGAAAATCCATTCAGTTATAGAGTTTATTCCGAATAAAAGAAGGCATCCTAAAGACACTGTATACTAAGACTACATTTTTTTATATTTCAAGTTTTTCATTATTTTCTGATATAGTGCATACTTTGCTTGATTAGATTAGTTGAAATCATATTATGTTTGCATATGTACTGTCTTAGCAATTAATTTCATGAAAAACATAGTATAATTAAGTAATTCATCTCTGTTGTATAGTCAATGCATGCATTGATAGTATGCAGAGAATTAAAATTTACTTTGTACTTCAAGTCAAAAGAATAACAAGGTGTGTACATGTTTTTCTTTTGTCATTTAATGTATGAATGTGTACTTTTGTATCAAATTAGTCATGTAAGTTACATGCTGTTGTCACTGCTGATCTAATTATTATGATTTATTATAAATGGAATTGTGTTACCTAGTGGTGGGGTTACCAGTTTCCATAAACTAACTTTATATGGTTATATGGACAGAGACATCACTGTTGAGCTTTACTCAAAGGTGAACTGGTTGAGGTTGCCATATTTTACAACAGAATCTCAAATCAAATACTTCAAATAGTCTCATTTTCTTCAATTTCAACATCAATCTCTATCAGTAGGGGAGCTAAAGAGATAAAACTGACAGTAATAATAACTGTCCTTCGGTAAGCAGTTGGATATCTTACTACTGAACAACTTGAGTAGTTAGAAACCACTCAGTCTGTTCTGTAGATTTCGCCAGCCAGAACAGAGTGATCTAAACGCTGGACGATTGTTTCGCTTGTATTGGGATCGAACTCATCAGTGGTGTACCTGGACAAATGCAGCTCACTGTTCATATCACCTGAATCTGGCTAGCTGACTTGTGTAGACTAGTAATCCTAAAATAGGATGAGTAATTTGCGAATGATTTACAAACTGCACGGTCCACATGGACACCTCTCACATCTGAGTGGTTTTTCAACTTCCAAACTGCGGGTATTTTGTCAGTGTTATAGGTAAAGCGAAGTGTCAAGTAACGACTTTGCCATGGACCAGCGGTTATGAACTAATGCAACTGATCTAAATAGCTTATGTGATCAGACCATCCAGTCACTTCACAATTTATCGGTAGAAGAAGTCAGAGTCGATGAAAACCCGTACTGAGGTGTCTTCTTACATTTTAAAGATGTGAAATGCTCATCAAATATACTCAAATGTTCGACCTCTAAACCTCTAGAAGATCCTGTATTTTATCAGTGTGTTTCTACCTAAGAAGATTTTATCACCTGCGTACTTTTGATCCAACCAGATGACTACTGGGTAGTAAATGGATCTCTGAAATGTTAAGCTCATTGCTACCAGTAAATTCACAGTAAATAATAATATGAATGGTCATACTAGTCAATCATAATAGCTATCACCAGGCGCTGTCAACTTAAATGACATCTCTGTCTAAACCTTGAGAAAGCTGCATCAGTGAGAGTAGACAGCCTTCCTTAGCATTACTTCTACGGTTTGTACACATCTATATCTGTATGCTATGCATATATATATTCTCTTTTACGCATACTATTTCATCAGTTTTTTGGAAAGCGAATG